AGTGATTAGGGATGCACCGATACCGATATCTGTGCCGAGTATTTGGGCGAGTACTTACCCAAATGCTCCGATGCCTAACCCGTTACCCGAACTTCCGGTATCGGGAAGCTGGGAGGCGAGTCATTACACGTCGCCTGGATTCCTGATTGCTTGGAAGCCGGCTCCATGCTCCCTCGTCACTTCCTGGCCAATCAGGAAGCCGGGCAGCTGGCCAATCAGGAAGCCGGGTGGTGTGTAATGACGCGGCGCCCGGCTTCCTAGCCATACCAAAAAAATACCTCGGCTCCCAACTCCCATGAAAGGTGCGGGTGACGCCGCGGTGCCTTACCGATGCCTCCCAGGAACGCCGGGCGTTTAAAGTAGGGATGCACCGATACTAGTATGGGTGCCGGTGCCGAGTATTTGGGCGAGTACTCGTACTTGCCCAAATGCTCCGATGCCTCGCCCGATACTTCCTGTATCAGGAAGCCGGGCAGCGAGTCATTACATGTTGCCCGGCTTCCTGATTGGCCAGGAAGCCATGCCCAGGATCCTCTCCTGATCCGCAGGCTGTCACTCACGGCTCCCTGCAGGGATTCCCCTCTCCCCGCTCCGATCCTCCAGCGCTGACTGGCAGAACGGACGGGGGAGGGGGCGGGTACAGCTGGCTCTGCCTCTAGATAGCTGGCTCTGCCTGTCACTCACGCAGCTGGGCGGATCCAGACATCGACGAGCTGTAGCTCCCTATATACTGAGCTTAGGGTGACGGCAGGATGCTAGTTTGTGTCCTCCCGTTACACTGAGGAGGACTATGGGGAAAAACACTGACCCCATAGTTCTCTTTTAATGGTTTGGTGGGAAATCCCCCCCCATAGTATGGAGCACTGCCCACAGATCGGCAGCCATGTTGTCCACACTCTGCTGGTTGGGAGCAATGATTGATAGAAGGCGGAGAAGCCTCCAGTGTCAGAGTCTCGTGGTACGTACGCAGATCGGCGGTTGAGCTTAGTGTCCTTCAGAGCGAAGATATGGACCGTGCCCTTGTCGCTGGAGCTGCACAGGAAGGAGCTGTCGTGGCTGAAATTGATGCTGAAAAAGATAATACACAGGATAGGTCACACAGACTGCTGCATACAAGATTGTAGAAGGAAAAACACTGAATGGAGATGACCGTGGAATGGGCCTGCCACGGGTCAGAGAGGTGCAAGCCACGCTCATTGAGGGCCACACCGCCTCCGTATGTTCATCGCATGGATCTGTAACGCACTACACCGCACAACGCACCCGCCCCCCGTGCGATTACAGTGCGGGCCGATATAGAACACTTACCAGTATAATGTGGGCGGGGTCTGTGCCACGTCCTAAGTCTACACTTACCAGTATAATGTGGGCGGGGTCTGTGCCACGTCTCATCTCTACACTTACCAGTATAATGTGGGCGGGGTCTGTGCCACGTCTCATCTCTACACTTACCAGTATAATGTGGGCGGGGTCTGTGCCACGTCCTATCTCTACACTTACCAGTATAATGTGGGCGGGGTCTGTGCCACGTCCTATCTCTACACTTACCAGTATAATGTGGGCGGGGTCTGTGCCACGTCCTATCTCTACACTTACCAGTATAAGGTGGCGGGGTCCGTGCCACGTCCTATCTCTACACTTACCAGTATAAGGTGGCGGGGTCTGTGCCACGTCCTATCTCTACACTTACCAGTATAATGTGGGCGGGGTCTGTGCCACGTCCTATCTCTACACTTACCAGTATAATGTGTGCGGGGTCCGTGCCACGTCTCATCTCTACACTTACCAGTATAATGTGTGCGGGGTCTGTGCCACGTCCTATCTCTACACTTACCAGTATAATGTGGGCGGGGTCTGTGCCACGTCCTATCTCTACACTTACCAGTATAATGTGGGCGGGGTCTGTGCCACGTCCTATCTCTACACTTACCAGTATAATGTGGGCGGGGTCTGTGCCACGTCCTATCTCTACACTTACCAGTATAAGGTGGCGGGGTCCGTGCCACGTCCTATCTCTACACTTACCAGTATAAGGTGGCGGGGTCCGTGCCACGTCTTAATTCTACCAGCTGATCCCGTGTCTGAGTGTCAAACAGTCGTATTAAAGTGCCTTTCCGTGAGGCGGAGGCCACGAGAGTGCCCTGCTGGTTGACGGCCAGGCAGCCCAGTTCACTCTGATGGGCGTTGATTGTGAACGGGGCGGAGGAGGTGCTGGGCTTGGCGTTGCACAGATCCTAGAGGAGAGAGAGAGCGCGGGATTGGTGGACGAGCAAAACGTGACTCGTGGTTAATAACTAGAAATACAATTGGTTGATGAAATGACAGCGGCCAATCAGTGAGCGTGGATGAGAAATATTGAAGAAAGACAGGCGGGTCGGAAGCTCTGCCGGGAGGGGGCGTGGCACAAGATGAAGTATTTGGGGGCGGAGACTTATAACTTACCACCAGCTGCAAACTGCCGCACTTGTGACCGGGAAAGAGGAGGAGCTGCTTCTCCATGCTGGGGCAAAGGTCACACAGGCCTGAGACACAAACACACCAATCAGTGCAAAGAATAGACCGGGCTCGTCATGTAACATGTGCTCTGTACATCCCTGTACCCCGTAACCCCGTACAACCCGTGCCCCCCGCGCCCCGTACACGCCATGCTCTGTACGCCCCGTACACGCCATGCTCTGTACATCCCGCACCCCGTAACCCCGCGCCCCCCGCGAGGGTCTGTGCCACGTCCTATCTCTACACTTACCAGTATAATGTGGGCGGGGTCTGTGCCACGTCCTATCTCTACACTTACCAGTATAAGGTGGCGGGGTCCGTGCCACGTCTTAATTCTACCAGCTGATCCCGTGTCTGAGTGTCAAACAGTCGTATTAAAGTGCCTTTCCGTGAGGCGGAGGCCACGAGAGTGCCCTGCTGGTTGACGGCCAGGCAGCCCAGTTCACTCTGATGGGCGTTGATTGTGAACGGGGCGGAGGAGGTGCTGGGCTTGGCGTTGCACAGATCCTAGAGGAGAGAGAGAGCGCGGGATTGGTGGATGAGCAAAACGTGACTCGTGGTTAATAACTAGAAATACAATTGGTTGATGAAATGACAGCGGCCAATCAGTGAGCGTGGATGAGAAATATTGAAGAAAGACAGGCGGGTCGGAAGCTCTGCCGGGAGGGGGCGTGGCACAAGATGAAGTATTTGGGGGCGGAGACTTATAACTTACCACCAGCTGCAAACTGCCGCACTTGTGACCGGGAAAGAGGAGGAGCTGCTTCTCCATGCTGGGGCAAAGGTCACACAGGCCTGAGACACAAACACACCAATCAGTGCAAAGAATAGACCGGGCTCGTCATGTAACATGTGCTCTGTACATCCCTGTACCCCGTAACCCCGTACAACCCGTGCCCCCCGCGCCCCGTACACGCCATGCTCTGTACGCCCCGTACACGCCATGCTCTGTACATCCCGTGTCCCGTACATCCCACGCCCCGTACAACCCGTGCCCCCCGCGCCCCGTACACGCCATGCTCTGTACATCCCGTGTCCCGTACATCCCACGCCCCGTACAACCCGTGCCCCCCGCGCCCCGTACACGCCATGCTCTGTACGCCCCGTACACGCCATGCTCTGTACACCCCGCGCCCCGTACATCCCGTGTCCGTACATCCCACGCCCCGTACAACCCGTGCCCCCCGTACACGCCATGCTCTGTACGCCCTGTACATCCCGTGCCCCGTACACGCCATGCTCCGTACATCCCGTACCTGTGCATCCCGCGCCCCGTAATCCCGCGCTCTGTACACCCCGTGCTCTGTACATCCCGTGTCCCGTACATCCCGCGCTCTGCACATGCCGCGCTCGTACCTTTCGGGTTGTCTCTGGTATCGAACTCGAACAGCTTGGTCGGGTTGTCTGGGAAGGAATAAACATAAATCCGATTCTTCACCGCGATCACAATCCTGCAATGAAAGGAGTACATGTTAGTTTTTTGGGGGGGGGCGGGGTGCCGATGTCAAAGCAGAAGTCCGGCCGAGCCCGGCCCGCACCAGAGCACCTGGAAGGAGCTTCTCCTGAACACAGAAGGAAGCTCCTTCCATGCCACCCATTCAGCTGCGGACAGGAAAGTCCCAGTCTGCTGCTGGACGTGAGCAAAGGGGCGGGATGCAGTGATGTCATTTACCTTATATGGCTATGCGGCCTTATAAGGTAAATGATGTCAGCACGAGCATCCCGCCTCTTTGTTTACATGCAGCCACTGGGGGAAGGGGGGGGGTGCCCAGCCCGCAGCTGATTGGCGTGGAAGTGCCTATGGCACTTTCTAGGTAGGAGGAGCCCAGGTTCGTTCCCAGTCTGAGCTCATCCCCGCTCACAATGTCACACAGACCAGTCACATGGAGGAGGAGGATTTGATGAACAAGGACGGTCACACGCGACGCCCGCCGGGGACTCACTTGTCGGATCTCAGCCGTACGCTCAGCACCGGTTTGGTGAATGTAAATTCCAGGACCAGCCTGTCCTTTCCATCCCGGGAATCGTCCCAGATGAGCACTGAAACAGAGAAGCAAACGGATCCCGAGATCAACTTTATTTATATCACGACGAGGACAATGAACAGGAAGTCGGGATCTGTACCTGATATGTCAGAGAATTTGGGATTACTGCCGCCGCCCACCAGAGCCAGCAGGTTACATCTGTGTAACATCTCCACCTGACCAACACTCCCCACCTGCTCCTGATCTGCGGGAAAGAACACAACTGTCAGTGACGGGGAGAGAACAGGAAATATAGGATTATATATTAGGGACGCACCAATATCGGTATCGGTACCAGTATCGGGCGCTTTCCTGAGTACCTGTACGGGTCACAATGCCCCAAATACTGAACACCGATACCGGCGCTTTAAATGTTTAAACTGAAGTGGCTGCCGAAGGTCCTGTGCTTGCTGGGGAACCACGCGGCGCTGCTTACAGTGCTTCTGCTGCCCGCAGGACCCTCCGGACCCCTCCCGAGACCCTCAACATCTCTCCTGACATTTTTACTCCTCTATAGCTGGTGGTATTCTGCATTGCTGGGATTTGTAGTCCTCTATAGCTGGTGGTATTATTCTGCATTGCTGTATAATGTATTGCTGGGAGTTGTAGTCCTCTATAGCTGGTGGTATTCTGCATTGCTGTACAATGTATTGCTGGGAGTTGTAGTCCTCTATAGCTGGTGGTATTATTCTGCATTGCTGGGATTTGTAGTCCTCTATAGCTGGTGGTATTATTCTGCATTGCTGTATAATGTATTGCTGGGAGTTGTAGTCCTCTATAGCTGGTGGTATTCTGCATTGCTGGGATATGTAGTCCTCTATAGCTGGTGGTATTCTGCATTGCTGGGATATGTAGTCCTCTATAGCTGGTGGTATTCTGCATTGCTGGGATATGTAGTCCTCTATAGCTGGTGGTATTCTGCATTGCTGGGATATGTAGTCCTCTATAGCTGGTGGTATTCTGCATTGCTGGGATATGTAGTCCTCTATAGCTGGTGGTATTCTGCATTGCTGGGATATGTAGTCCTCTATAGCTGGTGGTATTCTGCATTGCTGTATAATGTATTGCTGGGAGTTGTAGTCCTCTATAGTTGGTGGTATTCTGCATTGCTATATAAAGTATTGCTGGGATTTGTAGTCCTCTACATCTTGGAGTCAGTGACGGAACTACCAGGGTGGCAGCGGTCGCACCGGTGACTGGGCTCTGGCGCTCCACCACTGTCCTAAAATCAATAGTCTGTATCTTTTTAGAAAAGCTGTCACATGACACTAATAAAAGGTATCGGTAATTGGTATCGGCGAGTACCTGAGGAGAAGTATCGGTACTCGTACTGGGTTTGGAATAAATGGTACCAGTGCTTCCCTAATATATATGTATTTTGATTTTTAATATAATAAATACGTCCCATCGGGTTCCTGACTCACCGAGGTGTCCTTTCTCCATCAGCGGCTCGATGTTGAAGATTCTCACTCCGGTCTCCATTGCGCAGCAGAAGCAACCTAAAACACAAACGCCGACCTCATCACCACCTGCACCAGAGATCGCAGACACGATGATCGGAGTATGCCCCGGCGGGGTGACGGCCATAATCCAGTGAATAACAAGGACGTTACTGAAGCCCCGTTCACATTGAGCGATTTATTGCGCGGTAATTCCCGCGATATCGCTCTCCAATGCATTTCAATGGAGCAAAGGGTCCTGCTGTCGCGGGTCGTGTGTCGCTATAGCAGGACCCTTTTTGTAGCGGATTTTGCGGCGATTCAAGCTTGCTCAATGCAAGCTTGAACGCGACGTCGCGCAGTGGGAACGGGGCCTGAACCATTGCCAAGTGTGACACTCTGAGGGGAATGTATCAAAACTGGAGCAGTCGTCCACGGCAACCAATCATTTTCAAATCTCAACTGAACAGACAAGCTGGTTGCCGTGGGCAACTGCTCCAGTTTTTGATAAATACCCCTCTCTGTGTGTATATAATACCCCTCTCTGTGTGTATATATAATACCCCTCTCTGTGTGTATATATAATACCCCTCTCTGTGTGTATATATAATACCCCTCTCTGTGTGTATATATAATACCCCTCTCTGTGTGTATATATAATACCCCTCTCTGTGTGTATATATAATACCCCTCTCTGTGTGTATATATAATACCCCTCTCTGTGTGTATATATAATACCCCTCTCTGTGTGTATATATAATACCCCTCTCTGTGTGTATATATAATACCCCTCTCTGTGTGTATATATAATACCCCTCTCTGTGTGTATATATAATACCCCTCTCTGTGTGTATATATAATACCCCTCTCTGTGTGTATATATAATACCCCTCTCTGTGTGTATATATAATACCCCTCTCTGTGTGTATATATAATACCCCTCTCTGTGTGTATATATAATACCCCTCTCTGTGTGTATATATAATACCCCTCTCTGTGTGTATATATAATACCCCTCTCTGTGTGTATATATAATACCCCTCTCTGTGTGTATATATAATACCCCTCTCTGTGTGTATATATAATACCCCTCTCTGTGTGTATATATAATACCCCTCTCTGTGTGTATATATAATACCCCTCTCTGTGTGTATATATAATACCCCTCTCTGTGTGTATATATAATACCCCTCTCTGTGTGTATATATAATACCCCTCTCTGTGTGTATATATAATACCCCTCTCTGTGTGTATATATAATACCCCTCTCTGTGTGTATATATAATACCCCTCTCTGTGTGTATATATAATACCCCTCTCTGTGTGTATATATAATACCCCTCTCTGTGTGTATATATAATACCCCTCTCTGTGTGTATATATAATACCCCTCTCTGTGTGTATATATAATACCCCTCTCTGTGTGTATATATAATACCCCTCTCTGTGTGTATATATAATACCCCTCTCTGTGTGTATATATAATACCCCTCTCTGTGTGTATATATAATACCCCTCTCTGTGTGTATATATAATACCCCTCTCTGTGTGTATATATAATACCCCTCTCTGTGTGTATATATAATACCCCTCTCTGTGTGTATATATAATACCCCTCTCTGTGTGTATATATAATACCCCTCTCTGTGTGTATATATAATACCCCTCTCTGTGTGTATATATAATACCCCTCTCTGTGTGTATATATAATACCCCTCTCTGTGTGTATATATAATACCCCTCTCTGTGTGTATATATAATACCCCTCTCTGTGTGTATATATAATACCCCTCTCTGTGTGTATATATAATACCCCTCTCTGTGTGTATATAATACCCCTCTCTGTGTATATATATATATATATATATGTGTGTGTAGACACCTCCGAGAATGTGTACAATGCGTCCTGGCCAAACCTACTTGGGAAGAAAGCAGACAGGCCAGGAGGGGTTTCCGTAGCTGGGCCCCAGGGGTACTACAATGATGACCAATGTAAGGGGGCTCTATACCGGCTGCCAGTGTAAAGGAGGGGGAGCGCTATACTGACCACCGATTTAATGGGGGCAGATCTCCTTCAACCACCAATGTAAAGGGGGCTCTATACTGACCACCATACTAAGGGGATCCCCCCTATTGACCACCAATGTCACAGTGGTACTGCTCTGATGACCAGTATAAGGGGACCTATAATCAGCAGAGCAACAATACAAGGGGGCTTTACACTGACCACCGATGTACGCGGGGACACCACACTGACCACCGATGTACGCGGGGACACCACACTGACCACCGATGTACGCGGGGACACCACACTGACCACCGATGTACGCGGGGACACCACACTGACCAATGGCGTACCGCGGACACCACATCGCCATAACAGGGACACCACACAGACCACCGATGTACGTGGGGACACCGGCCACCGGTGTAACGGGGTTCTACACTGACCACCAATGTAAATAGCACAGGAGGGTCAGGGACACATCTGGGAACGCTGGGATCTGTAGTTCCTCGGCACCCCTGGCTTGCCCTAAGGGAAGAAATACCATGGCATCCCAGTGAGGAGTTCCAGTAGCACACACAGCCCCCAGCCCGGGACCCCTCCACTCACTCTGGTCCTGGTTGAACCGGAGCCCGTTCACCCCGCGTTGCTGCGCCATGACTGGATCACACCGGCTGAAGAAAAGAAATAAATGACATCACTGTGACGTCAGAGACCAGCACGAGCCGCTCACAGTCCGCCCGAACACCGCACACCTCACCTGGATCCCCCGCTGACAGCCGCCTCTGTTGTTGACACTCCGCTTCCTTGTTTACATGGCGTGTCACCGGACCGGAAGTGACGTCTCCGAGGCCGGGTTTCCCTCCGCCGCCATCTTTGTTAAGGGCAAATCCCAGCCTGCGATCTCACCCGTGTGATACACCGCGGCCAATCGGGAGTCACTGCAGCACCTCTGTAACCACATGGACGACTCCACTATGGTTTGCAAGAGGATTACGCTGCATGTCTGTACTGAGGTTGGGCCGGCACAGAACCGGAGCACAGCATGGGGCCCAGTCACCCCGTACAGACAAAGGGCGTTGTATGCAGTTTAAGTGGTAGGTGCGGCTGTCGGTCATTGAGCTTCGGGGTCACTCTATAAAGATTTGGATACGGTGATGATTATAAAAAGGACGATCCAGAAAACATTAAATTATACTAAACGGTAAAGATCTAAAAGCAGAATATAAAATACTTGGATAGAAAATATCTAAGAATTATCCCAGGAAATAAAACCTTCCAGCGCCTCCATCTTGGAGGTTCGTTCCCTTCCCCGCGGTAAAGGAAACGCAGAGATGGAGGCGCTGGAAGGTTTCATTTCCTGGAACAAATTTTAGATATATTTTTTTATTTGCTACTTTTATATCTTTACCATTTATTATCCGTCATGTTTCCTGGATCGTACCTTTTTCTTTATTATTTAAAGTCGCTTTTTAATATTTTGTGTCATTAATAAAAAGGAGAACTATGAGGTTAAGGCTTTTCCCATAGTTCTCCTTAGGGTAACGGGAAGACACAAACTAGCGTCCTCCAGTCACCCTAGGCTCAGTATATAGGGAGCTACAGCTCGCGGTATACTGAGACGCCGGAGCGGATCCCGACGTAGATGTCGGGATCCGCCCAGCTGCGTGAGTGACAGCTGGCTCTGCCTATCTAGAGGCTGTACCCGCCCCCTCCCCCGTCCGTTCCGCTAGTCAGCGCTGGAGGTTCGGACAGGAGGGAATCCCTGCAGAGAGCCGTGAGTGACAGTCATGGCTCTCTGCAGGGACAGGATCGAGAAGGCTCCTGATCTTTGGTTTTGCTGCTCCGGGTCAGCACTGTGCCGTGTGCTTGGCGTTGTGGCATGTTGTTGCGTCGTCTGGCACACGCAGTCATTACAATGAAAGGTGCTGTGCCGCAACCCCCGTGGGTACGCGGCGGGGATAATCTGGTATGGCATTAGAGAATGTCCTTTGGGAGGCTGCCGCCCGTGTAAACTTGGCTTCAAGCCACTCGAAACGCGTTGGCTACAGTTTTTACCCGTAAAGAACAAAAACTGGAACTGGACACTCAACCCAACGCCAGTCACCGATGTCACGAAAATCCTGACGGGGGTTCAGACCCTCCCCCTAATCTATCCAAAGCTATTAGTCGGGGGCAGAGGACAGGAACTCTCATTGATATCCAAAATAACATGTTTAGCGGAAAAACAATTAAAGAAACAAATAATTTTACAGAAAGTTTATTTACAGATATTAAAAAGAAAAAAAAATGAGAAAGACAAGAAAAAAAAAAGAAGAAGGTTGTATGCGGATCTATTAGTCCTCGTAGTCCTCGAAATCTCCAGTATAGTGACAGATGACATCATAGCTGAGGGTGACTGCGCCATCATGATCCCCTTGGAGCTGCACCAGAGCTCTGCTCTTCTGTCTGTCCCTGTGCAGGATTTTGCCCACCTGGAAGAGATTCCATTGTCATTGCCGGTCTACAGACCTCATAGACGTTTACTTCAAGAGACCCTGTCACCGGTCACCCGGCTCACTCCCAGCAGTCACTTCCTGAGCACCGAAATCTCCTGTGTACAGCACTGGCCGCCATACCTTCCTCCATGCCATTCCCCATCATACTCCATGCCATACCTTCCTCCATGCCATTCCCCATCATACTCCATGCCATACCTTCCTCCATCATACTCCATGCCATACCTTCCTCCATCATACTCCATGCCATACCTTCCTCCATGCCATTCCCCATCATACACCATGCCTTCCTCCGTGCCATTCCCCATCATACTCCATGCCTTCCTCCATGCCATTCCCCATCATACTCCATGCCTTCCTCCGTGCCATTCCCCATCATACTCCATGCCTTCCTCCGTGCCATTCCCCATCATACTCCATGCCATTCCCCATCATACTCCATGCCATTCCCCATCATACTCCATGCCTTCCTCCGTGCCATTCCCCATCATACTCCATGCCATTCCCCATCATACTCCATGCCATTCCCCATCATACTCCATGCCTTCCTCCGTGCCATTCCCCATCATACTCCATGCCATTCCCCATCATACTCCATGCCATACCTTCCTCCATGCCATTCCCCATCATACTCCATGCCATACCTTCCTCCATCATACTCCATGCCATACCTTCCTCCATCATACTCCATGCCATACCTTCCTCCATGCCATTCCCCATCATACTCCATGCCATACCTTCCTCCATGCCATTCCCCATCATACTCCATGCCATACCTTCCTCCATGCCATACCTTCCTCCATGCCATTCCCCATCATACACCATGCCATACCTCATCATACACCATGCCATACCTTCCTCCATGCCATTCCCCCATCATACTCCATGCCATTCCCCCATCATACTCCATGCCATACCTTCCTCCGTGCCATTCCCCATCATACACCATGCCATACCTTCCTCCATCATACTCCATGCCATACCTTCCTCCATGCCATACCTTCCTCCATGCCATTCCCCATCATACTCCATGCCTTCCTCCATGCCATTCCCCATCATACACCGTGCCATACCTTCCTCCATGCCGGTATAGGTTGCCTACCGCTGCCCTACTAGGTGGTGACAGTTGGTGGAGCATATGCAAGAGGGTAAAGGGCCATGTGGTCATGTCTATGCCTCTCCTCATAGGTGCAGATTGTGGTCAGTAGGCCATGTGGTCATGTCTATGCCTCTCCTCATAGGTGCAGATTGTGGTCAGTAGGCCATGTGGTCATGTCTATGCCTCTCCTCATAGGTGCAGATTGTGGTCAGTAGGCCATGTGGTCATGTCTATGCCTCTCCTCATTAGGTGCAGATTATGGTCGGTATGAAGATCTGGGCCGGGACCACCTCATAGAGAAGTATTACTAGTCCCATATGCCAGTATTATCAGTTGGGTCTTTCCTTATGCTGGTTTAACTTGCGTCCAGCTGTAAAAGGTCTACATGGTGAAGAAGGGTGCTGCGTGTATTGTTAAGCTTCATATACTCTGGAATCTTAAAGTGGAACTCTAAGTAGATTTTATTTTTAAATGTATGGTAATGACACCCGTATTCCACCATGTTCACCTTCCTGCTGAATCCATAGAACCCCTTCATTGCCAGCCAACAACTGAGCCGAGTGCTAACAGAAGGAACATTTCACAGACCAGCAACACCAAAGCTCAGCAATCACAACCTGCAGCCAAAGCTTACCTGCCCCCGGTGTTCGCCCAGCACCACCATGACCCGGGCCCCCTCTTCTTTGGGTATGACGGTCTCCAGCATATCCTGTCTTATATCTAAGAGACAGATCGGGAAATTAAATGATAAATACAAGCGAGTCACACTGAAACATTGTCATCCAATCCAGAGCATCTGATTGTTTGGACTAAGCATGATGGGTGTTCTGGTCCATCACAGGCTGCATGGTACATGGGGGGGCGGGGAGTCCAATGAATAAGCCTCCTATGTAAAAAAATGACATTTATCTAGAATCCTTTTCTCCAGTTGGAGGAGATTATTGCCACACAGCTCTCCAGGGTTCATTGCGAAAGTCTCCCAACCAGCAAAATCTTCTCTGAAGCTCCACGCAAAGCCTTCCGTGTACATGGACATTGGGGGTTCTGGGTTTTCTGGGTCCTGGGTTCAGCTTTACCCCTTTGACATACTCCGCGCCGTGCAAGTTAAAGCAACAGAAGCTGCGCCATGTGAAAAACTTTGTCCAACTGTAGTCCACCTGAGCTCCTCCATCGGGCAGGTTGAAATCACGTTGGATATTGGAGTCCAGATGGGCGGAGTTTGGACATGGTCGGTAAAGTTCTGGTCACAGTCTGGGTCTCCTACGTCCCTGTGATGCTTTACACAGCCGTTAGTTTGGGAATTGACTTCCAGGCCCACCAATGTAGTAATGGCTTTTATCCAGAAGACCGTCGTCCATGAGAAGAGGTCCGTATGAAATCAGAGGTCTACTGGCCACAGGACCCAACGTTACAACACGCGGGCTTAGAAGGAAGGGAAATCTATGCACAGGAAAACATCGAAGGCTGGAACTCATTACCTCTACATGGGCATATGGCTATTGAAATATAGAGCATCAGTCAGGGCCACCCCTAACTTATTGGAGGTGATGGGTGGCTGAGACGTCAGCCAGGTGGGTGGCCGCAGCCAGCAGAGCTGTTAGCCGGGCCGGAGGCAGAATGTGGCCGAGCTGTTGAGGGGGTGCCATTAGTTGTCTCTGCTGCCGCCCCCCAATGAGATGCCGCCTGAGGCTACTACCCCAGGCTGCCTCATTATGGGGACCTGATTACATTCTCAGCTTTTCTAACTCCTATTAAAAGGCATACCGCACTACATGAAAAGGATTAATAAATGTAATATTGTAAAAGAAAAACAATTGTATTTATTCATTTTTTGTACTGGAGCCTGCAAAGCATTGCAATTGCGATCAGTGAACTGCAGGTGCAATGCATAATGTCCTGTAGACTGATCCCCAGCCCCAGGTCTGTACCGAGGTATATGGAGCTCGAGGAAGCAATCAATGGACTACAAGGGCGGTGATGTCACTACACTCGTACTCCATTGAGAACCCTGAGCCGGGTCGTATTCAAAAATACACACAAGCCTGCAGGGAGATGCACCCCAAGATTCAGGTAAGTTGAGGGCAGGGGGTTTTCGGGCAGGACCTCACCTTCTAGGATGCGTCCACCTTCTGTCCGACACACGCAAGTTGTAGGGCTCAGGACATCTTCCACCAATATCTGTGTGTAATGAAGAGCGGAAGACATGACAATGAGCAGAATTGTTGAACATAATACATCTCGCGTAGCCTGCCCGAGGTCGCCCACCACCTCGCGTAGCCTGCCCGAGGTCGCCCACCACCTCGCGTAGCCTGCCCGAGGTCGCCCACCACCTCCCGTAGCCTGCCCGAGGTCGCCCACCACCTCCCGTAGCCTGCCCGAGGTCGCCCACCACCTCCCGTAGCCTGCCCGAGGTCGCCCACCACCTCCCGTAGCCTGCCCGAGGTCGCCCACCACCTCCCGTAGCCTGCCCGAGGTCGCCCACCACCTCCCGTAGCCTGCCCGAGGTCGCCCACCACCTCCCGTAGCCTGCCCGAGGTCGCCCACCACCTCCCGTAGCCTGCCCGAGGTCGCCCACTACCTCCCGTAGCCTGCCCGAGGTCGCCCACTACCTCCCGTAGCATGCCCGAGGTCGCCCACTACCTCCCGTAGCCTGCCCGAGGTCGCCCACTACCTCCCGTAGCCTGCCCGAGGTCGCCCACCATTTCCTGTGGCCTAGCCATAGTCTCCGATTAAGTTTTCTGCCAGACAGTACAGAATGGTTCCATACACCCAGCAAACTTCCTTATAGATTGTACTGCAGTCGGCAGTTGTCTAAGACCCAGCCAGTGACTGGACAATGAAGGAGCAGCAGAACACCAATGAGGTAATCACACTGCTCTCTCCACGGGTCAGGAAGATTTCAGTGTTAGATGGCATACCTTGGAGTTGTAGTACTTTCCTCCTTTATAGTGTCTGTCAATGAGCCGAACTTTCAAGTCGCGATGTAACCAGCTGAGGAAGAAACAAAAGTGTCAGTGAGAGGCGGTGGGAGGGGATCTGTAGATTTTGGATGGGAATGTGATCAGGTAAAGAGAACCTGTACTCTATTGATACAAACAGAAACCGACTTGCTTTAGAGGAGGCACCGTATGCTGACCGTACATACCAGCCTCATGTTCCTGTCACCCCAATGATAATCAAAAACCGGCATCGATTTCAGGGGGTCACAATCTACTTTAGTTTACAATAGCTTCCTGGTGGGGAGATCAGAAATATTTGGCAGTAAACATTGTTTGCCGATTGCAATCAATTGGTGGTATTTAGGATGCCAAGCTGGATCCAAATACTTCTAACTGGAGGGTTCAGTGATGCATTAAGTATCCGGAATGTGCTTTAGGATGAAATTAAAGGGCCATTCCATCTACAAATGCCTCTTTCATTGCTACTAAATACTTTATTGAGGACATTTCGGACAATTTCCGTGCCTACTATTCTCACTAAATGGAATGCTGAGCAGTAAATGGACTGTATACTAGGAGCCATAAGCTTCCATTACAAAGCCCAATGTCTCCAAAGAAATGTCTCCCGGAAAGGTTTACTCTGCTTGATCAGAGTAAACCTTTCCCTGCGATTGTTTTTTTTTTTTCTGACATCAGAGCCAATGTGTTTATTTATTTTTTTTTTATTCTGACGGCGTACGCCGGCGGTTCTCAACCTGCGGGGTCGCTGTGCGATTTCTGCTGCGCTAGGTGAGAGTCCTCCTCAGCCCTCTCCTAGCGCAGCAGTGTCAGTTCTCCTGCCACGCCGCCAGATGTCGCTGCAGCAGCCGCGTCATCCCTACATTTTACCGTTGGGGGTCACCACAACTTGGCAATTGTTACCAAGGGGTCCCGACCCTAGAAAGGTTGAGAACCACTACTCTAAGGGATCCTCATGGGTTTGTGGGAAAAAAAGGGGGATGGGCAGAGCCAAAGGCTTCCAAAGTGCAGAAGGAATTGAGGTCTACCTAGGGCCACAGACGGAGGTAAAGCCTGAGAAATGCCATTCCAGATGACACCGGCAAAGTACAGGGAAAAGACGAGGCCTTGCCATGTAACTCGTGCTCACCTTGGCTCCTCCCGCTTCTGTCTCTTCTTCTCTTTGTCTCTGTCGGGACTCCTCGGTTGATGTCTTTTGTCTCTGCTGCTAGAACTTTCATTCCTGCTCTCCTCCCGGGTCTCTTCTCGGTCTCTCCTGCTCTTCTCCCTGTCCGGTGAGCGGTCTTTGTGCTTCTTCTCCTTGGCTTCCCTTTCCTCCCTCTCCTCCTCCTGCTGCTTCTTCTTCTCTACTTTACTTAACCGACCTGGAAGGAAGAAAGAACGGTATTAAATGTACCAGGAAGAACTCCAGAAAGTCAAACGAACAAGTAATGGGTCAGATTTGTTCATCGATAAACAATAATAAGGTGACATTTCAGTCTTAGGGCCGTGGCCCCGCTGTGCTAGCGAGAATTCAACAGCAACAGGATTGCTAGAATATGCGCGGAGGACATGCACCTGCTTGGTATGCATTGTACTATGCGACGTGCTGTGTAAATTGTCAGCGCTAATAAATTAAAGGAGAACTAGGGGGTCAGAGCTTTTCCCAAGGGCCCAAACTAGCGTCCTCCCGTCACCCAAAGCTCAGTATATAGGGAGCTACAGCTCGCGGTATACTGAGACGGATCCCAACATTGCTGTCGAGATCCGCCCAGCTGTGTGAGTGACAGCTGGCTCTGCCTATGTAGAGGCTGTGCCCGACCCCTTCCCCAGTCCGTTCCACCAGTCAGCGCTGGAGGATCGGACAGGAGAGGGGGGAATCCCTGCAGGGAGAACGCAGTCTTCACCAACACATGTCTATGGGCGCCGCCATATTTACTCAGCTTTATTAGCAGCACCGTGATTTTACTGCCCTGCTTATCTCAGCGTATTAGTGTCTATTAGAAGATAATCGCAACACATTTGCTATGGCCTGAGTCACTTATCTTCTTCATGGATCGCGCTGTCTGACACACGGACACTAGAGGGCGCACCTGCACATCTGAACATGGGGTACAGGTTACATCATAGGCAACCTGGGAAATCCGGCTGAGGTGGAATTACAAGTCCCATGAGACATTACAAAACCCCCGACAGCCACAGGCATGACGGCTTGTGTAGTTTCACCGCAGCTGGAGGGCCGGAGTATGCCTACCTAGGCTAGATGATGGTGGACGTCCTCCAGCCAGGAGGCTTCTAATGCACATTGTGAGAAGCTCGCAGTGTGCGGTGAAGTCAGAATTTTTAGTCCAGGAGGTGTGGGGGAGGGGGGGAATTGGGGTAGAAAAAAGGTGCTGGGCTGTTTTTACCCTAATGCAGAGAGAATGCATTAAAGGAGAACTATGAGGGGAGTGATTTTCACTCAGCCTCATAATCTGAGCCGACCTGCGACAATGAGACTGTCACAGGTCGGCTCAGTAGATCGGGAAGTGAGGGAACACACACCAGCGCTCGCTCACTTCTCGATCCTGTGCCGGCAGAGAGCCGTGACAGGGGAGGGACCGGATTCCCCCCTCCCCGCTCCTCCAGCGCTAACTGGTGGAATGAACGGGGCGGGTACAGCTGCCTCCGCCTCTAGATAGGAGGAGCCAGCTGTCACTCACACAGCTGGGTGGATCCCGACAGTAATGTCGGGATCCGTCCCGGCCACGGCGGTCTCAATATACCGCGAGCTGTAGCTCTCTATATACTGAGCTTAGGGTAACGGGAGGACGCTAGTTTGCGTCTTCCCGTTACCCTGAGGAGAACTATGGGGGAAAGCCCTGACCTCATAGTTCTCCTTTAAGGTAAAAAACACCCAGACCTTAATACTACTTTAAGGGAAGGCCGGAGTTCTCCTTTAAATGATAGGTCAATGAGAGCTGTATAAATAATGGACTCTCCCCCGGCACCCCTCTCGCAGTGGCGGTAATTGCTTTGCTCCTTCAGTGTAACGTTGGACAGAGTCCAGTGGGAATCATTAACCCTTCTGCAAACATGTATCCAAGTAACACAATAATTAGAGCCGATTGAGGCTCTGCAGGCTGCAGAGTTATAAATCGCTGGCGTGGTTTGGCTTCGGTTAGAACGCATTATCTTATCTGAACACGGACGCAGAGGGAGGGGACAAGTGCCGCTATCACGATGACAGGGATTGTGGACACACAGGCAACGTGAGCAAACGCCCATCTTGTGACAGACTATTGAGTTAGTGTGATCTGATGTAATTGAAAGGCGCGCGTAGCTCGTGATTGCGCAATCTCTGTAATGATGCAGAACGGGAAGGTCTGGGTGCGAGACCGGTCTTGTCGCATCCAGTTCCTCGGCGTGCTTGGGGGAAAAACGAGTGGAAGGTTTGACTCACTCAGATCCTTGGCGTATTTCGTGTACTCTGCGCTGCTGACCAACTTCACTGCAAACTGGGACACCGTCACCACTTTTCCTCCAATGGCGAGCTTTACCATAGCCCGGCAATTGTCTGCGTCGATGCCTTCTACCTGTAGAAGAGACGCAAGAAACAAAAACGTCACGTTGTAGCAATGCAGAATATCGAGGAGTGCTGGCGGGGCAACACACTGCTCACAAGGTCAGCAATTTCTAAAATTCGAGGAGTGCATGGCCAGCTTTGGAAAACGGAACAGCCCATCTGGATGGTATGGGGCATAAACTATACGGACACGTGACCTTCACACCTACATCAACCTGATGGACAACCCGTTATATAAACCATGGGCCCCACAATGGCTTTGCCCTCCTTCCTCTAACTCTCTTTAAAAGTTTTAACACTCTTCTGAGAAGGGTTTCCACGAGATTTTGGAGTGTGCGGGAGTTTGTGGCCATGCAGCCAAAATAGCATTTGTAAGGTCAGGTACTGATGTTGGAGGAGAAGACCCGACTCATAACTGGCATTCCAATTCACCCCCGAAGGTGCCCAGTAGGGTTGAGGTCATCTACTGATGTTGGAGGAGAAGACCCGACTCAAAACTGGCATTCCCATTAACCCCAAAGGTGCTCATTAGGGTTGAGGTCAGGTACTGATATTGGATGAGAAGACCCGACTCATAACTGGCATTCCCATTAACCCCAAAGGTGCTCAGAAGGGTTGAGGTAAGGTACTGATATTGGATGAGAAGACCCGACTCATAACTGGCATTCCCATTAACCCCAAAGGTGCTCAGTAGGGTTGAGGTCAGGTACTGATATTGGATGAGAAGACCCGACTCATAACTGGCATTCCCATTAACCCCAAAGGTGCTCAGTAGGGTTGAGGTCAGGGCTCTGTGAAGGCCACTCGGGTTCTTCAGCCCCAAGCCAGGGCTTTATAGAGATGGGTTTGTGCACAGGGGCTGCAACAGAAAAGGACACTGGCCCAAGATGTTGCACGAGCACACACTTAAAACATTGACAGTACCCTGCACTGGAAACTCCTGAACTAATTTATTTGGAAGGGGGAGGGG